ATTTTGGTCCCGCATTAAGTTATCTATTTGTTTCTACATTAATTCTTCAAGTGGAAATAACTTTCCATTTGTAACGTCAAAAGAGCACGGTAAAAGACTCAATAAAGGTTTAATATGTAGAACCAAGTACACGGAAAAAAGGGAATTAGTTCGCACGTGTAAAAATTAACCGTCCATATAATACAACTGCAATTTCGTTAATCTGGCTAATTTCTTTTGTCCCCGTGCCCAGATTTCTAGCCTCCACGGCGAAAAATGAGGCCTGGTGGACTAAATTTCAATTATACGGACAGTTAATTCCCTTCTCTCCCCGTAGACTTAACCGTCGGGCCGAAATTTCGACTCGAGTTGTGAAATCAAGTTTGCGAAAGGCGATGCCCTCGCGAGACCCGACCCGGGATAAGGGCTGAGTCGTAACGTTAAAAAAAGAACCGTGACACGTTTCTCGTCTCGCTTCTCCAGTCCTAACTGCCGCCGGCGCATTTCACGTATCGTGACACACTGATTGCCCAATCGATTATCATCGGACATCGCGAGGAGTCTGATCATCCTAAACGGTCGAGGCTGTTGTAATAGGACGGCGGCACGATATCGAGCCGCGCGCTTCGAGACGAAAACGACCGTCAATATCCATCCGGTCGACGTCGGGGCGCTCGTCGTTTCGTCAATGAGCGATCATCGGCCGAATCGAAAGGTGACAGCGCGCGGCTGCCGTCATCGTACACGTCGATCACGAGGCGCGCGCGCGCGCGCGTAACGCCGAGCGTATTGTCGCGCACGTGTCACTCTTTTTCCCGTCGAAACCGCCGCGACTAAGGCCGAATTGCACCGGCAGGCAGCGCGCCGACCAGGAGCCGTTGCTCCAGATTGCGGATCCTAACATCCATTACCACGTAACATCCTCTCGCGAGTCACCGCTCCCTCCCCCCCCCCGCCCCTCTGCCCAAAAATACACTCCGACCTCGACCTCGCCTCGGCCGGCCTTCGATTCGCCCCGCGTAGAAATTCTCGCTCCGCGCCCGCGAGCAAATTTGCGCACGTGCGGTATCTTTCGCCATCCTTTAATATTCAGCACGGTGCATCATCGTGATCGATACTTCGAGCGAATTTCCGTCCGAGAGCGCGCCAAAGGAAACGAAGATTCCTTGGTTATTCGCAACGCCTCTGTGCACGTCGCGCGGAGAAAGCGTGGATGTTCGAAAATGCAGGCGACGAGCGGGAGGAAAAATCGAAAATGCGGGGATCGCTCGGAAACGTCGCGGACACGAGCGGAAAGAGAGCACTACGAGGGTGGCTGCTGAATCGCCGTTGCGAAATCGTCGACACCGCGCTCTCTACCTACTCGTCCCGTCTACGCGACTTCATTTCGTCGGTAAAGACACCCGAAAGACCCCCGAGACGAGCGTACGTCGTACGAGCGGCGCGCACCAGACTACCAGAGAGACAAACAACACACCGTCACACCAGTATTTGCGTCGCGTGCGCGTCGTCGAGGAGACGAGGGAGGGCAGCGCGCTTCGGCCCGTCGACGTGCGCGGCCGAATAACGACTGGAGGCCGGCCGAAGAGAGAGACACACACACACCACACGTTCGTCTTCTTCGGCTACCAGTCGAGCACTGTCAGGTGTGCGTCCTCTCGACGCGTACACAGCCCGGGTCTGACGCGCACCACCGCTACTACTACCACCACCACCACCACGGCGGCGGCTGCTCTGCCGCTACTACCACTATTACTATTATCACTACTACCACCGCGGCTGGCTGCTGCCGCCGTTGCCAGTGCCTCTCTCTCTCTCTCTCTCTCTCTTTAGCGTGCAACGTTAGAGTCGGGCGCGGCGGCGACGACGACGCGCGGTTTGTACGAGTAGGGGAGCCCAACGCGTTAGCGCTGGCTCGTGGCGGGGTGTCACGAAATCGAGGGGGCAGAAAGAAACGGGAAAAACGGACGCGTGTGTGTGTGTGTGTGTGTGTGTCGAGGAATAGAGCACTTCGGCGGTTCTCGCTCGCCCGGCTCGTGAAAGAGTACTTGGGAACGCTCATGACTCGATTAACGGAGTTCTTGTGATCGTTTCCAAGTATTTTGTAAGAGATGAAACTAAAATTGTCAGGATTCTCGCGTTCCTCTTGAAAATACGACTTACCTACTTTTTCGTCCTCGCATTTTTGTCGTCGATCGTAAGAGAGATAATGTTACGGTAATAAAATTATATCCCCATCCCGAAACTCTTTTTTTTTCTTCTTCTTCTTCAATCGAAATTTTAGCTCTACGTTAAATCTTTAATTCTACAACAGTCGGAGCTAAGATAACCAAGTAGGTTGAATTCCTAATAACATAGTTTACTCCTACTTTGACTCTAATAATGTCTTAAATTTCTGTCTTCGTTGTTTTAGCGTCCAAATAAATTATTCAAGGTAGCATTAAAATTAAATCCGTACAATTAAAGATTCGGAGAGAAGTTTAACAAATGTCAATATGTAGTCGCCAACTATCTTTAAGAAAGCAGAGAAGTTGAATTTCCAATAATATAATTTACTCTTTGACTCCGGTAATGTCTTAAATTTTTGTTTTTGGCTGTTTTAACGTCGTAAATGAGTTGCTTGAAGTAGCATTAAAATTAAACCTGCACAATTATAGATCCAAATGAAAAGATGTCAATATGTAAGTCGCAGGTTAATAGGTTGTCGTAATAGTCGTAAGGTTAATAGATGTTAATATGTAAGTCGCGAACTATTGTATATTCTTAGTGTCAAAGTGGCGGTAAAAGACAACTCGAGTTCCCCGAATAAAGGAATCTGCCTTTCGTTCGAATTGTCTCCAATTTTCCGCTCCGGACAAATTTGAGGGACGTCGAGTTCCGGCCGATCGACCGACCGACATTTCGAAACGCAGCGCCTGATTTCGTAGAGGCGCGCGCGCGTGTGTTCTGCGTACCGGCATGCGTAATTGGCACACGACGCCAGTAGATTCCGACACAGCACGCGGACTGACCTTGCTCGCGGAAAACCGGCGCGGCATAATTGCCTGCGGCGGATGCGCGGCATCGTTCGCGTTAACTGCGACGTGTTGCGGATTCGCGTGCGCGCGGATTTGCTCTTATCGCGCGAACCAGCTCGACTTTTTCGGGGAGAAAGAGAGAGGGGGGGGGGGGGAAACG